TATCGATATTAATCAGATTATCGTATTTTATCGATTTTAGATTAAAATCGATATATAACACTTTTATCGATATATATTGATATATTTTAAATGATATATATCGATTAAGTGCTATATATCGATTTATATCTGTATATAAATTTTGCTGATGATAAATGTGTATTCTATTTTATAGATGTGGGGTAATGAACTTGTAATATCAAATAAAATATATAAAGAAAAAAAAAAGGAATGTAATAAAAAATTATATGGTGTGAAATCAAGAGATACCAAATGGAGATCAAAGAATAGTGACACCAAATGCAAAGAAAGCATTGAGATAAAATGAAAAAAAAATCACACTGTGTAAAAAGGCAGTATTGAGATCAAAGGAAATAAGTAACACCAAATATGAAAGGGAGCATTGAGATCAAAGAAATATGCAATATTCAATGTAAAGATCAAAAAAATTATGTAGAGTCTAATATGAAGGCAATGTTGAGATCAAAGAAAGTATATGACACTCAATGTAAAGGCAGAGTTGAGATCAAGAAAATACATGAACCCAATCTGAAGAGACAGTATTGAGATTAAAGAAAATAAGTGGCATGCAATGTGAAAAACAAAATTGAGATCAAAGAAAATATGTAACAGTGTTGAGATCAAAGAAATATGTTGCACCCACCATAAAGACAGTGTTAAAATCAAAGTATGTGGAACCCAATGTGAAGACAGTGTTGAGGTAAAAGAAGAATGTAGAACCAATATGAAAAAACATTGAGCTCAAAGAAAATATGTAACAAGTAATAGAAATGTGCACACCTGATATGAAAAAAGAGCATTGAGATCAAGAAAGTAAGTGAAAGCGAATGTGAAATGACAGTGTTGAGATCAAAGGAAATATGTTGCACCCACCATGAACATAGCTTTGAAATCAAAGACAAATTGTGGCACCAACTATGAAGAGACAACGTTAAGCACCAAACAATTACTGAATTAAACCAACATCGAACGTGAAGGCACTAAGAATTAAGCAAAGATCGAATGCGAATAAACCAGTTGCAAAGTCAACGTTGATAAAAAGATTCAAGGGGATATATGGTTGACATGAAAGTAAAATAAGGAGAAGCACCAAGAAAGAGAGAGAAGAATAAAGCCAGAAGGCTACTATATGCTCTAATTCGTAATGACGATATTACATTTTTTGTTAAAGACTTTAACTGATTCTAACTATGATCTTGCATCAGATTATAGCCTACGCACCTCAGATGACCGATCGACAGGTGACGCACATCACCTGAGAATCGACATCTGAGGTGCGTCGGATTTAATCCGACGCGGGAATGCATCTGAGGCACAACGTAAATATACTAATATCCCTTGGAAAACATTGGTTCTTTACGCATTACAATAAAATAAAGAGTACATACATGCATAACTATAAATTAATAAACATGCTTATAAGCTATATATACGTTTATCTGTTCATCTCTTTCATAACAGCAAGTAACCTGAACCTTCATAACATGTAACTGCAATAAACTTTATAGTTATTAAAGAATAAAGACGGTAATACGAGCCAAACAATTATGGAGATTCATTTATTTCTGGGCAAGCTCTTGGTGATGTTGTAAGCAATTAAACAATCAACAAATGTTATACATACCAATTTAATTGTGCTACATAACAGCAACGAAAACTTAATTTTTCTTTGCATCTAAAATGTCAGATACCAACTTGGATGATATTAAAGCAATTTATTTTTATTAATTTTCAGAATCCACCAAGATGGGAGACTCTAAGAAAATTTTATGGTTTGCTTATTGTCATGAATACGGGATTGGAATTGAAAAGGATAATAGAAAGGCATTCATTTCTTATCAAAAATCTGCAGATATGGACAACTCTGACGGAACATATAGAGTTGGAAATTGTTATTATTTAGGAATTAGGGTTGAAACGGATAAGCATAAAACATTCACATATTATATGAAGTCAGTTAATCCAGGCAATTCTCAAGGAATTCTTAAAACAGCCATTTGTTACAGATACATAATCCAGAAATCTTAAATGCGTAGTGACTATATAATGTAATTTTATTGTACCTTCATTTAAATAATTAACTATTTTATTGATATTAGTTTAGTGATAATTTAGTCCATAAGTATAAGTATACACTATTTGTCAAAACTTTTCGAATAACGGTAATTTGGTTCAACCGGGCAAATGAACACGTGCCGCTTCGCGACATGTGTCGCCAATCATTTGCCCGGTTGAGCAAAATTACAGTTATTCGAAAATTTGTCGAATAATGGTATTATCCGACAATTTATGATCATGATTTGTAGGGAGTTGTCAACTGAGTTTTAATTCGAGTAAACGTGAATTTTTCGTAACACATGAAAAAAATAATAGACGAAATAAATTCATGATCATAAAAGTTTGTCGGATAAGTGCTTTTATTAATATAAGTATTTAAAAATAAGTTATTCGAGTTTATGAATTATTACTTTTTCGTTTTATTCGCGCTAGTTTAGTGGGTAAGTGTAAAACAATCATTTTATTAATATAAGTATTTAAATTAAGCTATTCAGGTTCATGTTTAAGATTTAATTACATTAATTTTGAGTATAATGAACATTTATTAATTTAAATGATTAAAAGTTATTCAAGTTCATGAATATTTATTATTCATTTTATTCGCATTTAATTTGTAAGTATAATAAAAAAACATCTATTAATCTAAGTATTTAAAATAAGTTATTCAAGTCTATGAATAATTACTATGTTTATTTGCAATAATTTAGTTTGTGAGTATAAATAACATTTATTACTGTATTAACCCAATTATTGATTGCGCTTTTCAAATTGTGTGATCAATTTTTGTGCAACTATGATTATGATTGCGATTGTGCTTATAAAGCCGGCCAATTTATTATAAATCTGAGTTGGTATTGGCCAACCTTATACACAGTTGACATAGTCGCAATCGCATTCGCGAAAAAAAAAATTAATAATCATAGGGGTCACACAATTTTGCAAAGCGCAATAAAATTAGCTGTAAAAGTTCATGAATAATTACTGATTTAATTACATTTTATTTTCATTAATTTAGTCCGTGTGCATAAAGATCATTTATTAATCTAAATATTTAAAATAAGCTATTCAAATTCATTATTTAATTTCACTTTTATTTTCGTTAATTTAGTGGGTTAATATGAAGGATATTTATTAATCTAATTATTTAAAATAAAGCTATTCATATTCATGAATATTTACTATTTACTCATAATAATTTAGTTCGTTAGTATTAAAAAAACATTTATTAATCTAAGTATTTAAATAAGATATTCAACTTCAATTCCATCTTATTCGCGTTAATTAGTCGGTAAGAATAAATTTATTAGCATTTAGTGTCATAAAGTTGTACCTGTATTATATCTCCACTTGGTTATGTTACTCTTATTTAATGCCTCAACAATAATATTCTATACTTAAAAGAATAAATTACCTTTTTATATATTTTATATACAGAAAAACCTCCCTAAATACATCCTAAGCGTACTACTCTTTTAAATTCACCCTAAATGCAGTTTTTTTTTATTGTTCTCTAAATGCACATTGTCGATCATTTGGTCCAGATAGGGTGTACTTAGGATGTTTTCCTGTATTTAGTTATACTTTAGTTATGCTGTCAAAAATAACAAAATTTAGAGAAAAAATAATTCAGTACAGGTGTATTATAATATAGAATCACTAATATGAAAATACAATACAATTGATAGTGATTCTTATTATGGAAAATGTGCACATTGTAATGAACATAACACGAGTGAAGTATGGCGTCAGACGTGTGATTCTGATATAACAGTTCAAGGATAACGAGCGGGAATATAGATATTGATGATTGTATGAAAGAGTTTCAACTTAAGACTAATAAGTATAAAAAAATATGAATGAATGGACCCCTTTTGATAAACTAAATAATGTTAAAAAAATTGGCTAAGGAAGATTTTAGTTCTGTATTTTCCGCGACCTGGTAGTATACGAAAAATTAATCGTAGTTATAATAAGAATACGTATGTCATATAGTACAGTTCTAAGGAAAATTTTCACGAATTTTTAACAGAAGTAAATCAATTACTGTTCATTGTATAATTATTAAGTATATATTGACTAATTTATATAAATTTATAAAGTTTAAAGACCATATATTATATGGCAGTAGCTTAAAGGTTTATGGACTAACTTATAACACAAAAATAAATGAATACTTTTGGTATTATAATTAGGGTAGCTGCACAGCGCGTGACGCAGCGCAGAACCAGTACGATCATACTGCGACGAGTAAAATTCCGACTATTCGTTTGATAAAATCGGTTACTAAATACCT